AAAACCGGGTACCACATTATAAACCGGGTTCCATTTCATCACCAAACATACAAAAAGAGAAAAAAGATTAGATTTTTACACCAAAATATGATAAAAAGTAAAACTTCTCTGATATTTCAAGAATTTAGCGACCCTTTTGGTTTCTCTACCTGTTTTTCTTTCTTCTGTGCTGGAATGCAAGTTTCAAGAACTGAAATTTCTCTTACGAAGAAGAAGAAGAAAAGCAAGAACAAGTCGAAGAAGTGTTGTTATATAGAGAGAGAGAGAGAGAGAGAGAGAGAGAGAGAGAGAGAGAGAGGATTGTACTTTCACTTGTTTTCTAAGAGAGCAGAAAAAGTAAGCAAAGAAAGGAAGAAAGACAAAGGGAAATCTAAGCTTGGATTAAGGGAGAGGGGGTGGGGGGAAGGGGGGGTAAGGAGAGGGTGTAAGAGGGACCCACAAAACTTACATGAAGAGAACATAGACGCACTTTTACTCTTAAACGTCCTCTTCAGCCTCCCTATAAAGAAGTAGCAAACCTTTTTACCCAATTACTTATTTTAAGAAAAATTCTCATCAACTTACTTAATTCTATTTTTATATCTGCCGATGTCACTCTTATTTTTATATATGTCACTTTTTCCATTAATTAGTTTCAAAAAGAATAAAATATTTTTAGATCTAAAAACTGTTAAGTACCCGTTTGTCCATAAAAAAGATTTTTTTTTTCGGATTCAGTGTTTGACCATGAAAATTTTAAATTTCACTTTAAGTTGAATTTCGAAATTTTTCTGAAATTTGAAAAACTCAAAAAAGTTATTTTTACAAAATTTTCACTTTAAAGCACTCATAACAATTCATAAACAACTCTAAATTGTATTAATGTCCTAACGCAATTTTAATTTTCAAATACCATTTTTAACTTGAAAAATAAATCCGGAATTTCACAGTTTTTATGTCCAATTAAAATTTCTGTTTTACTCTTACTGATATGACCTGTTTGTTCTTTTAAGAGAGAATAAATAGGAAGTAATATGTGAAGTTCTTACCACTTTTTATTAATTACCACCTCTTATTTAATTATTAATAGTAAGATTAATTTTGGTTCCTTATATGTATAGAATATATTTTTAAAAAAAATTCATATTCAATCATACATATGTCATATAAATGACGGGACTGTATGTTTAATATACTGACAATGTAGGAATTTATACAATCAAGTTAAACTGACTACATTAATAGTTAACTCATCATACTAATCTTGATAAAATAACCTAAAAATAAATAACTTATCATCTCTAATTAAATTACATTGAGAATAAAAATATTACAAATACTTACCCCTATACGTATGAAAGAATTTGTGTTAATAAATTTAATATATGTATATTTTCTTTAAAAAATTATGGGAGGGAAAGGAAAATAAGGAGGGAGTTACATGTTAGAGAATCAAATACTGGTCAAAATAAAAATTTAAATAGCCAACCAATTGAGCTACCTAAAAATGAAACTAATATTCTCTATTCTCTTGTACAAATACTTAGAAGCCGTTTGGTTGGGAAACAACTTATTCCATAATTAGTTATTTCAGTCTCTCATGGGGATAAAAAAAAATATTATAATCACAGGATAATCAATCTCGTAATTAATTATATCACGATTTTATCTCAACCAAATATAAGTTAAATTTATCTCAAAATTAATTATTTTTTATTTCTCGTATCAAACGGGCCCTTTAAGTAGTGGAGTATGTTTCTCGTTTGTATCGTCCTCATGGAGGTCATATATCAACTCCACGTGTTGACGAGGGAAATTGCACGCTTTAGCGGTGGCGCGTGTAAATTTTGGATAAGGAAACGCCAAGCGGGACACGGTGGTCGGAGCTCTTTGTAAACTGTACAATCTCTGTGATTTATGGCGGTTTCGACGGTTTTTTTTCGATATTACCCGTATATGATTATCCTTTTTCTTTTTCGGTTTGGCTTTAGTATGAATGAAACAAGGATCAACAAGACTATGACTACGAGTGTTCAAACCGAATCGAAAAATCGCACCATATCGAAAAATTAAACCAAATCGATTAAAAAATCCGACTAGGTTTGATTTGATTTGATTTGATATTGAGTAAAAATTCGAATCAAATTGACATATAAATATATAATTTATATATATATTTGTAAGACTTTATATTGAATTTTCTTTAAAAAATATTAAAATATTTGGGATCCTCTCATGTGCTAACCTTGAAAGTGTACATTAATGAAAATTATTGTTAGACGACTAAGAAAATAACAATCATGTGTTACTAAAGAAATTCTCCCATTAGAATATTTTAATAGATTATATGTTTGTCAAATTTTTCAATATTTACTAAACATATATTCACTTATCAAAATTTTATCTATAACTTTAACAAAGTAAGATTGGAATAATATTCATGTAACCAAAAAAATCGAAAACCCGAAAAACTCGACAAAATCGAACCAATCCAAAGCGATATAATTGGTTTGGTTTGATTTTGATAAAAATAGAACCAACCCGGTCCATATACACCCCTAACTATGACCATAAATTTCATAAAGAGATTGTCTTTACCAATTAAATTTCTAGTAATTAATTATCTCACTTGGAAAAGCAATTTCTTTTTCACTCCTTAGGAGCAAGTGATAAAAATCATAGCGGGAATATAATTTCCAAATATACATACAACTGAATTTATATTTATATCTATCTATCTCTATCTATCTATCTATCTATCTATCTATCTATATTATTATTATAAAAATACGAATAATTTATGCTAAATGTTGAACGACTAAAATATTCTCAAAATTTTAATCGACTTTTATGACCTTAAATATTTGTACAATTTAAGAATATAATTATAAATCGCCCAAGACTAGAATTCTTTTTCGATTTAAACTACACATACGTCGACCCTACAAAGTTAATTTTGGGTAAAATTCTTTTGAGACTTTATTGGTTTGGACTATTCCTTTTAACCTTGAGTTTGGATTATATTAATTGGTATGACAATAGACGAAGTATTGATCTTTTTTTCTTCTTCTTTGTTACTGATTTTTCTCAAAGTTTATGTTTGATAAAATTTTATTATCTAAAAATTCCTGAAACATTAGTCTACTTTTAGTTGAGGATAAATATGTAAATAATCTAAGTCTGAAATTTCTTTTCGGTTTAAACTACACATATGCCGACCCTACAAATATAATATTTGTCAAATTCTCTTGGACATTATCATTTTGAACTTTTTATATTAATTGGTATCACAACCTACACAACCTATGAAGTAGTGATCTTTTATCGTCATTGACTTATTTAAGATTTCTCAAGTAATTTATGTTTGATAAGCTTTTATTGTCTAAAATTAAAAAATAATCATATTTTATCAAGATAAAGAATTGATAAAAGTAATTAAAAGAGATCAATGGAAAGCTTTTTGCTTTTATAGGAAGAGAAGATATGATGCTAACAGGTATCTTGTAGCACATATTTTAACCCTTTTTTTAGTTCAATAAATTTTTTTGTCTAAAATTAAAAATTAATCATGTTTTATCAAGATGAAGTATTGATAAAAATAATTTAAAGAGATCAATGGAATGTTTTTTGATTTCATGGGAATAGAAGACATGATGCTGATGGATATCTTGTAGCACATATTCTAACCTTCTTTTTTTTTTAAAAAAAAAATCTTATCATTAAAAGAGATTTAAGCCGAATAATAGATAATAAACCAAATCAAGTTTCAGCCTTTTGAATTTACAAAAACACATGTCGATAAATTAGACTTATACTAACAACTACCGGAGCAAGTTGTAATGGAGTGAAACCGCTTGATTAAATACAAGATCGGAAGTTTATTATTTTTGACACAAGATATTTCGTGCATCGCACGAACATAGAGCCTAATATTATATTAAAAGCACGAATGCCCTTGGTGAAATGTCGTTCGCCTTTTTTACCTTTTAAAAATATATTTCACATTGGATATAATTATAATTTAAGTTACTTTCCTAATATTTAGGACTTAAAAAATTACTAATTTTTTATTTATTAAATCAATTCCTTATTTGAGCTATGTATGAAGTTCTAATAATTAGGATTTAATAAGAATACTATAAAAAAAAAAAAAAAAAAAGGAAAACATGTAAAAGATTCTCCAACAAAGTAAACAATCCGATTACCCATCATATTGTCTTCAATGAAAATTTTAGTTCCCGGCAAGGATTGTGTTTTGAAGTCGAGTACAAATTATTTGACTTTTAATTTAAAGATTTTTTAGTACTTAATAATAGTATAAATAAAAATAGATAATAGATAATACACTTCCATAAAATATTTGAACTCCCTTCATATTCAAAAAATATTTTTTGTTCGTTGATTTTTTCTATAATAATAAAAAATTACACTCAACTATTAGAACAAATAATTGAGTATTTTCTCTTCATCGATTTTATGTGTAATATTTTGAAAATTACACTCAAGAATTAGATAAAAATAACTAAAAAATATTTAAAAAATTTAAAAATAATTTTTACATTCAACAATATCGAAGGATAATAATTTTGGGATAAAAAGTGGGACTATCCAATTTCATGTTTGGTTAGATATTTTTTTTGTATAAGAAATCACGAGAATAGTTACACCACAATCTTAATTAGTTGCTATTTTTGTTCTACATTCAATGTGGGATAATAATTTGGGGACTAACTATCCCGAGATAAAATAATCAAATAACCAAAATATCCATCTCCAAAGCGCTTATTGTAAATCATTTAAGAAGAAAGGTTAAAGTTGAAAATAAAATTTTATCCAAGTTTATATAGGAAAAAATCAAACACATTTTTTATATTACACTCTATATATTCTAATTTTAATTCAATAAATTATTTATTTATCAATTGAAAGTATATCCAATAAACATTTTTGTTATTATTTAATTTTTGTATTATAATTCTCGCACTATCATCCCAATATAATTTTTTGCGAATTAAAAGACCCCTTAGGCTACATAAACTTATGTTTATAAAGGAGAAGATTGGCCCTAAAAATAACTAGACAGTACCCCTTGAAACAATAAGGATACGACAGTAGAAGATAATATTATGTATTCTAAATGAATTTATTAATTATTTTTTTTTCTTTTTTATTTATTCCAACAAATGGCAACCCTCGATATTTTTAAAAAATATATTTCTAAGTTATCTGTTGTAAAATATTAACTCAATATTTGTCATTTTTAGATTTTACACTATAGTTATTAATTTTTCTTGAGCTATAGGGACAACCTCTTCATTCCCAAATCACTAAAGAGATAATGTTTTTTAATTTTAATAGGTTTTATTTGATAAATCTTTA